ATATATATGATACGTCGCGTGCTATTCAGTTAGACTCGATTTCCGTGACACTACTCGCAAAAGAGTTCAAAGAAGAATATGTGATGGTGGTCACCTTCGGAACTTGTCCAACTTTTCCAAAATAAAAGACGCCGAAATCAAATGCAACTGATCCAGGGATTTCGAAAGAAGGCTTTTTAAGAATAACAAAATATCAATTACTTCTTGCGGGTCAGATTTCAGTTTCGGAATCTATCGCGTCGTGGAGCATCGCAAATCCTCTCTCCGCAAGATTGTTGCTGTCGCACACGACAGTTGCACGCGAGACTAACTTTATTAATGAAATTCAATGCACGAGAGAGGTACGCGATTTGAATAATTACAGCGTTGACTATTATAAAGTACCCTTAATTTATTATTTTCTTAGAAAAGATGGTAATAAAAGCCGAAAAATTACAATAACAAAACGTTAAAATTTTTATAAAAATAAATATTATTTCTCAATAAAATTGTTTTAATATATTTTTCCTTAATAGAATATTTACGCAATGTGTGAGGGTACTTTATGACCAAAGCTGTAGAATTCACGGAATTTAACTCGTGAAATCTCATTTACTTCGTTTTTACCTGAACAAGCCATGCGACGTGCTAGGTTGAATCTTCCCACTTCCGTTGCTCGTCGGAATTGTCGGTGGCTGCGGCTCACTTGCCGATCTTTGAACCAATGCGGGTGCACGGTTGCTCTGCCTCGCACCAGCTGGCACAGTTCCCGGCATCATTTCGATACTAGAGCTCTCTCTCGATGAGTTGAGAGTCTGCTGGAGCAAACTCAAGATCAATCTGATGTCGCCGGCCATTGTGTGTTCCAACGAAGACACCTGCTGCGACAATTGGTCGATCCTGGCATTGAGCTCCTCTACGGGCCGACCTGGGCCACTTTGAAAGTCGCCTGGAAGAATCAAATGTCTTCATCTCGCGGCAACTCGATTTGATTGCAATCAAAATTCATTCCAACATAGCTCACAGAGCAATAATTCAACATTTCAGTGCAATTACCGATATACTCGATTTTTGACAATGAATGATTTTTAATATGATGATAGCATAAGATGGCGGAATTTCATATCAATTAACGTAAGTGAGACAAATGCTCTAAAAAATATAGGTGTGGATTTAACGTCATAGATGTTAGATATAATTTTACCATGTTAATGTTGACGTAAACATCAATGAATGTAATATTATGCAATTTTTATATAATTTTCACCGTATTTATTGTTGATATCTTGATGGAAATTTTTTCCTAAATTATGACGAATAATGATGAAATATTATCAAAATTTACTGAATTTCATATTAAAATTTCTATCAAATGACTCAATTTCAATATTATTTCATTAACAATTTAATCTGAATTATTAAGATTATAGTAAAAATCATTGAACACGAGGACTATAATGACGAATTATTCAGCAAAATTCATTAAATTCAATTTTTCATAAAAATTTAATATTACATGTGAATCATAATAAAAGTAGTCCAAATCGCAATCTTAAAATTAGAAAAAAATAAATGATTTAATACACTTTAAGAAATTTAAAAAATCAATTACATTTCATATACATTTACATTTCATATTATTTTCATATATACATTTTTTTATCTTTTTGTCATATTGATTTGGTATATTTTTAAATTCAACA